AGCCTCCCAAAAGCTGGGATTACAGGTGCACGCCACTACACCCAGTCTCAATTGCTGTCTCAGCACAATCCGGCATGGCTGGCCTGGTCCCTGCGCCTGTGCTTGAATCTGCTGAGCTATTTGGCCGGCCCTTACATTTGGGTTTTTAAACTTTATTAGGGAAAGTACTTATTTGGATGGTAGGAGTGAACTCAAGCTAAGTATACTGTACTACTGAATCATATCCTTAGCCCTGACTTAAATTATAAACCATAAATTTGTAAATCATGAATATTTTCAATGTAGAAAGCTCTGAAAATATAGAAAAGCCTAGGTAACACTAGAATTTTCTACAAGTCTTTTAAAAGTCTTTTGGGACTAGATACTGAATCCAGAGCCTCCTGCATGCTAAGCATGTGCTCTACACTGAGCTATGTTGCCCAAACTATTGGGCTCAAGTGATCCACCTGCCTCAGCTTCCCCAGTAGCTGGGAGTACAAGGCATGTAACCAGTTCCTGCAAGATGTTTTGTTGGTGTTTTGTGACAGGGTCTCGCTATGTAGTTCAAACTGGCCTTGAGTTCATTATGTAGGCCAAGCTGGCCTTGAACTCACAGTGATCCTCCCCACTCAGCCTCCCGAATGCTGGGATTACAGGGATGCACCATGATGCCCGGCAAGACTTTTAAAGAATTTGAATCAATAGGTTGCTTCTTAGACTCTTCCTAAAACTGATTTTAACCAAAAAAAATTAGCTTTTCTTAGATATGTACATGATATACTTTATGTAAATGTCAGAAAATTTCCAAATTGATCGAAACCAGCCTCTTCAGAATTTCTCAACGCAGTGAAGTCTAGACCTTAAAACAGCAGAACACACAAGCACAGTTGTGGTTATTCATCAGTTCCCAAAGACAGAGAATTCAGCTAGCCCTTAAGAGGGGCAAAAGCCTACTAAGCTGATGTAGACACCAACTGATGCCAACACCACGTTGGCAGCTGGCCACAACCACCTAGGCTTTGGGTTCTATCATTTGGTGCAGCCAATAAGAAACTCAGCTAGATCACCTAAAAAGAAAAGGACAGCAGAGAGTGCGCATCTGGTACCTCTGGATGCCTTGCACGCTACTACCTTTCCCCAGATGCCTTCTACATTACATAGGCAGCACAACCCTTCAGGTGCCCAAAAGGCTCAGCCAGCGTAGGGAGATGATGCAGAGGGGAAGCAAAGAAGACGCTCCAACAGGTGACAAGAGCAACTTTCATTTGGGGAGGGAGGTCCAATCATTCAAGCTTTCACAAAGCGCTCAAACCCAGCTTAACCCTCCTCCTTACCCTCTGAGGACCCCAAACCTGCCGGCCACAGCACTGGGCCCGCACCCACCTGGGGCACACGTGCCCAGTAGTAGCCCAAGTACAGGGCCACGCCAAGAGCCAAGAGCAGAGAGAAGGTCTCTGTCCAGGTGCCGTGCGAGAGATTCAGAAAGGAACTCAGCATCTTTTACACAAAAGGGTTCCAAATCCCAGGTTTGCGGCGGTCTAGAGCTCCTGAACCACCGCTCTTCCGCCGGCAGGTTGCCGCCGGGCCCGCCCTCTACATGCCATTGGTCGGTCTGTGCAGGTTCCGCCCCCAATATAGCCTCGCCCTCCGGCAATGTGGGGCTGGGCGTGGCCAGAAGCGGCGCTGGGAGTGGCCCGGGACGGTGCTAGGGGCGGTGCTGGCGGCGGCCAGAGGCGGCGCCAGGAGCTGCGCTCGGTGTCCGCGCAGAGTTCACCCGGAATCTGCAAATCATCTCCAGCCTCCTCGCCTCCTCCCGCCCTCCTCTCGCCCTCTCCAGCCTCCTGCTTTTCCTGCACTGTTACAAGGGGTGCAGCCGAAGGACGACCAGCCTCCTCTGCAGCTGCCATCTTGGAGCGGGCTACCTCTGATTCTTTCTTCTGCAAAGTCTTTCCTTGCTGGGGCTGACACAGGTTGCTTCCTCGAGTTCCTACCCACCCCGAGTTGGACCAGCAAGGGGCACACACAGCCCTCCTGGGGGATATTTTGTGTTGTCACCCAGAGTATAGCCATTCATAGTGACCCTCACGCACGGGACACAGCCACTGTCCAATTGTTACACACGGCCAAACGTATATATTCAGGTTTCAGTCGCTCTGTGGTGACATTTCACCTCCCTCCCCCGCACCAGGTTAAAGTCACGCAGGCTTACCACAGTGTCACATACAGTCCATTTCCCGCCAGCGGTAGTCATGATCTAAATCCATTTTGTCCCTGGCTCTATTTGTTCCCCTCCCTTTTCTGAGCCACTGTCTTACAGTTACTTGGTTGCTAAACATCTTTATGACAAGGGACAAAAACTAACCCCAAGCAACAGCAAGTTCTCTGTGAAACAAATCATCCTGTGATATTATATAGGGCTAAGTTAGGTAGAAATTAATAGTCAGTCAGAAAGGGACAAGGACCAGGGGGGAATCAGTGCAAAAGATTTTGAGATGCATATCAAAATTGCAGTTGAGGGGCCAGAGAGATGGCTCAGTAGAATAAGCTCTTCCCTGGCAAGTGCAAGGGTCTGAGTTCAATCCCCGGTCAGCCGTCTCAGCGCCTGCCTAGCAAGTGCAAGGAACTGGGTTTGGGACTGGCCAAATAACTCAGTGGATTAAAGCACCTGCAAACAGGCGCAGGGGCCAGGGGTTCCATCCTGAGCCTGCTGCGCGACCCTGCCCTCGGGGCACGCTGAGATGGCAACTGAGACTGGGTGTAGTGGCTCGCACCTGTAATCCCAGCTCTTGGGAGGTTGTAAACAGGCCCATCACTACGAGTCCGATCTAGTAGTGACACCCTGAACGCCCTGTAGGCCCTTTCCTAAAATACAAAAAAATAAAATAAAATAAAATAAAATAAAAAGGATCCAGGTTTGATCCCAGGTACCACATGCCATGCCTGCCCCAGACACCATGCTGGCCACCCAAACTAGGCATGGTTGCACATGCCTGTAATCCCAGCACTGAGGAAGCTGAGACAGGATGATCACTATGAGTCTGAGCTGCACAGCAAAACCCTATGCCAAATAAATAAACGATAAAAAAAAAAAAA